TTTTCCAAAATAATGTGGCTCAAATACACCCATAGCATGTCAAAGGAAAATATTATAGATTTATTGACTTCTGTGATCCTATGCCCCTGTTTGCTACACATTAATATTTTTATTTTTTTACTCATTTTTAACTACATATTCCTCAATAAAGTAATATTTTACATCACATTAATAACTTTTCCTTCTTTTTCAACCACAAATTCTCCATCAATCTACTATTTCATAATACATTCTTACAAAATAATGTGACTCAAACACACCTGTAATCAAAAGTTTAGTCTTTTGTCTTTAGTGAATAAAACAAAGATTAATAATTAGATTGGGTAGTCTAGAGTCGACTAAACATGATCTTTGAATAATATATGTCCGATCAATCCCTGTAGTGGCTTTATAAAATATTGGAACTTAATTATAATTATAATAAAAGTTTTAAACTTAATTGTAATTATAATAAAATTTTGTACTTAGTTGTAATTGTTATAAAAGTGTAAACTTATTTAATAATTGTAATTGAAGTTCTAGGACTACAAGTGTAATTAAATGTAAACTAATTGGATGTAGACTTTAATTAAGACTCATATTTGAAACTAGAATTATTATTGTACGAGGATAGAAACATCTTTATCTCTATAAATAAAGATTAAATGGACATAACTAGAACAACCATAATACAATAATCCCATTGTGTTCAAATTTAGAGAGAGAAAATAATTATTTTCTTATTTTTCATATTTGCAGTCCAAGAATTAATTTATTGATTTAATTAAAAGAAGGTGTTCACCTATTGGTATAGTCTTGACCTTTGAGATACTATAGAGGACTTAGAGGTTTAAAGTATCAAGTTTTTGAAATTAAAAAATTGGAACTTCATGATCCAAAAAGTTCGAAGTTCAAGATTCAAAATTAATTCAAGAATCAATCGTCGTATTTAGGTAAAAATTCCAATATTTTATTCTTGATAGAACACGCAGGTGAACATCTAGATGATCTTATTTATTGAATTAAAGAATTTTTTTAATTTTCGTGTAATTCTATTTCCGTATTCCAACAAGAGCAACTATTGGTTGATGCATTTTTTTCATTGAACCATTCTAAGATTAAAAGAAAAATATTATTTTACACTTCTCACTGACAATTTTATTGACAACACTCCGGTGTACTGCCCCCTTCACAATAGGGGACCAATGATTTTTTTATTAGTAGTGGGCCCCCTTATTGTGAGGAGTGTGTACACCGGAGTGTTAATCCCGTTTTACAAATAGCAAAACCCTTTATTGAAATTGATGCTACCAAAAACTTGTACCTGAATGAACTCAAACTGGATGGTTGAACTCCGCACGATCTGATCTTCAATACCTGAAACAAAGGCGTCGGTGTATGTCCTCGTCGCCCCCCGATACTTAAGTCAGAAAGAGAAATTTATGGGAATGACTGTATGCGGGAAATTATGTAAAAAATATTAATAATGAGGCTGGATTATGTATTTATAGGTGTTCGGAGATGGAGTCCTAAAATGATCCAACTTCCTGTAGTCCTTATCCTTGTCGTACAAGGTGTTTGTGTTATGTTAGAAGTGCACAGTTTTAGTTAGAGTTAAATTTGTAATAGTTGGGGAGTTTGTATTCAAATAGGATTGCTGTTTATAGAAGGTGTGAGATAAGGACAAGAGAATCAAGCAAAAGGCAAAACTAGCCCGACCGCATGGCACAACCCCGACCTCCAATCACCACCCTGACTTTGTAGTTGGGATATTTATGGGGAGTTAAGTTCAGGGGTCTAGGTCGAGATCGGCCTTAATACACTTATACTCATCAGAAATGATAAATGATTTCATTTCAAATCAATGGATCTTGGAGAGAGATGAAGATTTAAACATGGCGGCAAGTAGAAAGTTTGATCAATGAAAACCAAACTTCAGCAGTAGTTGTGTGTATACTAATCTAATGCTGGAAATTTCTTCTCATTATTCTGTTGCATTCGTTGAGTTCTGATTAATATATGCAATATCATCTACTTTTGGAGTTGACATATATGACGTATTTGGTACATAGCGTTAAATTACTCACACATTTTATTGTATTAATTTCTTGTTTAAGTGTCTAAACATGCACGTAGATTTGATGGAGTTGGTGAGCTTGAGCTTTGTATAATTCCACCTTCAACGTGTTACATTTCAATCCCGGGGCTGTCCCTTCCCCTCAACACGGTGGCCTATTTTACCCAATCGGTAACCCATTCCTTTTCTAAAAGTAATCCTCTTCATGTCTCCGCATTGTAAAAGGTCCCAAAAAATCGAATGCTTGCTTTGGTATCAATTGTTACAATCATTTTTGAGTAGTACTCATTAGTTTATAAATGGGATAATGTCCAATGTGCTTATACAAGGAAAAAAATGATATAATGACTATAATTGCATTCCACATCATTAATTTCAAGACTTGGGCTCTTGGATATATATTACCATATGATGACCAAATTCCGCCCATCGTGGTTAATATACATGGTACAACATAGGAACAGATCCAAGACCGAATTATAAGCCAGGCTAATATATATATAAAAAAAATTCAATGAGTTGGGCCTCGTACAACCCCTATGGTGACTAGGAGACTTGGAGAGTACTATGAGCTGTAATTTAGTGAGTTGCCCAGTTAAAAATATGATATTTTTGTTCGAATCCCCTCAGGACCATTGAGGTTAGTATCTGACCGTAAACTTCAGGGCCCCGTGGGATTAGTCGAAGTGCGCATAAGCTGATCCGGACATCCACGGTTATCAAAAAAATATTTGATATTTTTGTAAGGGAATTGTGCCCAAATGACTTATTTATATGAATTGTAACAACTATGCTTGGGTGTGTTTGAGCCATATTATTTTGGAAGAATGTATTTTGGAATAATAGATTGATGAAGAATGTGTGGTTGAAAAAGAAGGAAAAGTTATTAATGTGATGAAAAATATTATTTTAATGAAAAATGTGTGGTTGAAAATGAGAAGAAAAATGAGAATGAAAATTTTAATGTGGCTCAAACAGGGGAACACACTTTAAATTTAAGTGTGTCCAATAAGTTATAAACCTATAAACATAGATTACTCCAGACATTTTCAACCCAACACCAATTTGATGTAAACACCATTTTGGTGTGAAATTTAACCTCCAACTCAACTTCAAATCTTGACACAAAATTGGTATAATGAATTTGGTGCAAGATTGTTAATTTGGTGTAGTATTTGAAGTTTATATTATTTTTCATTTTGTCCTTCATTTTATATTACAGCAAATTTTAATTTCTATTATATCATTTTATTACCTAATGGTTTAGTTTTATTTATTTTAATTTGATTATTGTTTTTATTAAAATTTATAATAAATTGTAATCAAGTAATAAATAGTAACTATTTAATACATGAAAATTCAAAAGTTACAAATTTGATAATTAGAAATTAAAAACAAATTTAAAATCCATTGAATGATCATTTGTAAGATAAATATATTAATTTTAAGAATTAAAGGACAAAACTAGTTAGACTTTAATTTATTAATAAATATAATATTTTAAATGGTAATTTTTAATTAATATTTTTAATAGTAAATAGAATATATAATTAAATAATTACTGAGAGTTAAAAATAAATAAATAAAGTGAATAATGTTGATTTAATTTCCTTCTTCCCCCTTCAACTTAATTGTCCATGGAGCAAATTGATAGTTCCAATAGTTGGATCAAATATTTTTGAATGCCGGCAAATGCCGAATATTAATTATAGTAACAAATCTTAATGTTAATTTCATACCAATGAACTCATTGAAATGGCAATGATCTATATGCATGACAGGACGACAATGCCCTAGATGTGAATTCAGTGAGTTAATTGTTTCAACACTAACTGAACTTTAAAAGGTGTCACGTTCCACCAACCAAACTTTAAGTTGCATCCTATCACTCACTCAACTTTGAAAACTTGCACTCCATCCCTTACTGGGTCAATTCCATCCATAACGTTTGCTTACGCGGACGACGATTTTCACACGTGGCCGTTAAAATACTTAACTGTGCTATGTCATGAACGGAATTTAACACCCAAATAGAGAGTTAATTGTTTCAACACTAAGGGTCCGTTTGATTGCGAGGGTGAAAAATGGGTGGAAAGAAAATGAATTACATGGAAAGTAATTGCCAAGAAATTGTTTTCCACGGAATTGTTAATTAAGTGTGTTTGATTGGTATAATTTTCCACCTGAAAAATTTTTAAATTTTGTCTTCGTTTGGCCTTCGTTTGTATCAAAATTGTCCATTATAGTGAAAATTTTTTCCACACTTGGTTATAAAATTTGTTTCCATTGCCAAAAAGTTAAAAAAAAAAAATTGTTTCATAAAAAATTATTTTTTTATCAAAACTTAGTGTTCGTTTGGCCTTCGTTTGCATCAAAATTGTCCGTGAAAGTGATATTTTTTTTTACACTTGATTATGAAATTTGTTTCCATTGCAAAAAATAAAAAAATAAAAAAAATAAAGATCAGAAAAAAAATAAAGGCATCAAAGATGGAATTCATTTTCCCACCACCCAAGTTTCTGTCAATTCAGGCGCGTGAGCCTCATAGTGGGAAAATGAATTCCCTTCAATTTTGTGGCCATCAAACATCACATTTGGTGTCAAATTGAATTTAAATTCCAACTTCCAAGGAATTAAGTGCCCATCAAACAGGGCCTAACTGAACTTTACAAAGTGTCTCTTTCATTTTTGAAACAGTTTGTGAATAAACCAAGAATGACTTTCAAGAACATGAGACAAAACTTTGAAGTTATCTGTTGGAGGTCGAGAATATTTTATTCCTTTTTCTATTCTCGTATATCTTAGAAATAGTCGTCATTAGACGGATCACAATAGAAAGATTCACCAAGGTCTATTTTTAAGAATATAGATCGTACTATTATGTTATGTTAATGAATTTTGTGGAGCTCCAAGAAAATCAATACTCACAAAAATGTCTGGACCATCAAGGAGAAGGAAGCAGAAAGTGATATGGAGCAAACTGTGTACTTTTGCATGCTTGCGGCCTAGCACTACTGATTCTGCACCTATTCAAAGTCTTCTTGGACAGCCGGGATTTTCTCGGGTGGTTTTCTGCAATGAACCTCAGCTTCACAAGATCAAACCACATAGGTATCCAAATAATTATGTATCCACAACCAAGTACAATCTTCCGACCTTTCTGCCAAGAGCGCTTTTAGAGCAATTTTTGTTGGATAATTGTTCCAAAACCTTCACGAAACAGAATATCGGATTGAGTACTGGATATGCAGAATATATACCGTATTTGCAGTAAGTTTAAACACTACATTTCCTCATATCATTTTACATACAAATTTGA